GTCATATGTTCAATTTCATTGCCCTTACATACTCAAATTCCTGTACTTAAGCCTCTGAACACATTTCCCCACTCTAATTTTAATCCTATGGGAAAATTTGCTTCATACTCTCCACTGCAGTCAGCTGCTTTGTCTGCAAGCCCGACAACAGCACTTTAAATCATCAATGGAATGCAAACAATGGCTGCAGATGCCATGGCAAGCAAAGCATGCCTGTTATTAGCTATTTCTTCACTCCTTTATTCTTCATATGCAGTGCTTTAGCCCAAGTTGTTTTATACATGAAGTATTTTTACATGAACAAGTTGTATAACCTGAAGTGAACTTCATGGCTTTCTTTCATTCCAAACTAAGCTTGAGACCAACAGGTCAAGTGCATCTTTACAAACTGCAGTTGTTTACTATAATTGCTTTAGAAACAAAGCCTAGGACACAGAAAAGTTGTCAACACCGTCTAAAATAAGCTCCATAAGCAGGGAAGGTTCATTTCAGGTTTGTCTTTGAGCTACTCGTGCACCACTGCTAAAAAAACAAATTGAGATCATTAAAATACCCACTAAATTGATATATGCATTACACCACATTCGCCTAGCATTTTAGATATTAAATCTAAAAATCAAACGTCTTTCTAGGGTTAAATCATTAGAAGTAATAAAGCATTTATTTAAAATATTTTCAACCAAGATCTGATCTAAATTCTATTTTACAAGTTAATTAGCCACTTGCTGTGATAAAGTGAAAGGGGAAGGGAGGCTTTGTTAGATACATGGGGTTTTTTAAAGTGGTCAGTGTGCAGTACATGAAAGCACTGACAGGCAGCAAGTTTTCCCACTATGGCCAATACAAGTAGCTCTACATTTTAGAATAATATTTATCCAGACACAAGCAGCAGTTTGTTATTCGGTATTTGAGAATGAACATAAATTCAATGACATCAGAGAATTAAACCTCTGGTACCTAGCATTTGTAAATTGAGGGCTTCACTGCAATTACCTGTTGTTTAATTATCACTGGGGTACAATATCCAGAACACCATGTAGTCTCAAAAGCCACTGAACATGCAGGGCAAAGATGGAATTTTTCTACTTGATTATCCTTCTGACCTCCTCCAGCAGCTCAGATGATCTGAGCAACTCCGTATGTTGCTGTGAATGTTTCCATACAAACTGATAAAAGAGCTGACTTCTCTGTATTTTTTAGAGCAAAGATCTCAATTCAGAACAAATAAACACTCTTAGTTAACCAGCTCCTTCTTAATCAGGACCTGACTACCTAAGTCACCCGACTCTCAACAGACCATTTGAGAAAAGGGGTTTCACTGCAGTTTTAGCCAAAACCAAGCTTGGGAGGCAGCAGATGCCAAGCCCCAGCCCAGCTGGCCTCGGTAACCCCCGGAGCAGGCACTCGGGGCCCGCAGCTCGTTGCAGGGGAACAAAAGATGGCCTTGGCCTTCAGCGGCTGAGTCAGAAGCAGCCGCTCAGGGAGGCAGCCGGCGATGGGGGGACTCCTCCGCGCCGGGCAGGGGAGAGGAGGGGCAGCAAGGGCGAGGAAGGCTTTCCAAGCTCTCCAGGGAAGCACTGTCCCTGCCCATTATTGCACCTAGCCATGCTTTAAGTGAAAAAAGAAACACAAACACACACACACCCCTTGCCTTGCCCCCCAATTCACTGGGGTGTCCCCAACATTCCCGAGTCACCTCAGGCCACAGGAGCCGCACATCACCCACCTCGGAAGGCAGCGGGGTGCCCCCAACACCCTCCAGCCACCTAGGCTGCCTGAGCCTCCCGCTGCCCCATAGAGCCCCCACGCATATTTCGCCGCCCCCCAGTCCCCCATCAGCCCCATATCATCCTCAGAACACACTGAGATGCTCCCAAGATCGTCAAGAGCCGCACCCTATCCCCGAATTCATGAGGGAGCCCCTGAGCCCCAGACCCATCATGCCCAACGCGTCTCATTACTCAAAGCTCCTAGCTCCACTTGATCCCCAAACTCACAGAAGCTTCACCCCCAAGTCTCTTAGTTCTAAACTCACACAAGTGCCCCGAGACACCTTGATAGGGGGTCCTCCCACCCTCACACTACCCCCAAGTTCACAGAAAGGGTCCCCGAGCCTGTGCACCCCCCCTCCAGCCCCACACCATCCCCAAGCTCAGAGAAGGGTGCCCGAACCTCTGTCTCCCTCCAGCCACAGACCACCCCCACGTTGACAAAGGGGGTCCCCGAGCCTGCGTGTCCCCCACTCCAACCCCACGCTCAGAGAGGGGTCCCCGAGACTGCCTCCCTCCAGCCCTACACCACCCCCAAGCTCACAGAGGGAGTCCCCGAGCCCGTATTCCCCACTCAGCCCCACACCACCCCACAACCACTGAGGGGGGCCCCCGAGCCTGTGTTCCCTCCCCCTCCAGCCCCACACCACCCTCAAACTCACAGAAGGGGCCCCCGAGCCTGTGTCCCTCCCCTCCAGGCCCACACCACCCCCAAATTCAAAGAGGGCGCCCCGGAGCTCCCCCCACCCCCCTCCCTCACTCGCCCGGGAGCCGGCCAGGACTCGAACCTCCCGGTGGCGCTGCCTCCCCCTGGCCTCACGCTTTATAAACTTCCACAGGCCTGGCCAGAGCATCTAATTCCTGTCCTAGACTTCAAAGAGCTGGCCTGGGTGAGGGCAGCATCCTTCTGAAGTAGGCAAATGGCCCGGTTTATGTAATAGTCTGGGAAAACTCGGCTTTGTTTTTGCTGGTGTGCCTTATGTAATAATTTCTTCAGGGAATGATCGGGACAGGGACGTAATATCTTAAAAGGCCTTAAGGGGAAATGGATTCCGAGATATCTTTGTACACTCCCAAACACAGTAAAGGGAGAGGCCTGACAGGGATCTCTTGTTCCTATCAAAGTACAAATAATAACTAATAGCTACAAGAATTGTCATTTCCCTTAGAATACAACAAACCATGTACTTGCACCCTGTAATAACCAGAAACTGCCCTATTTATCTCTTTTAGAGAAAGGGGAAATTGCATAACTGGAAAAGCACAGCGGAGAAAGCAGCACGCAATGTTATACACTACCACCGACAGGGAACTAAGTCAAGAGGAAATGCCGCCCCCGGAATGTGAAATCTTAGCTGGCAGATGGCTGATGTCTTAGTATTGTTGCTGGAGATGGGGAATTTGTGGTGGTTTACTGACTCTTGAATAACAGTTCCATCAGTAAAATTATGCTTGGATTATGGGCATCTTATTTCCTTCTAAAAGCAAGTTTATTGTTTTAACAATCATTTCATTATTGCTAATGACGGTTTTAATTTGCAGAATGGACTACAAAGTTCAATAATAAAAATCAGGTTGTGAAGCAGTAAGTGTTCTTTCTGTAGTTTTATTCTGAAGATTGTTGAGGCAGATTACTGAGCTGTGGATGTACTTGGGGCTACAGGGGACTGACGAGTTTATGTTGTGAGGGGGGAAGAGAGGCAAAATGCTCTAACAGCTACACAGGACAATTGTGCAAAAAGTCCTGAAGATAGTGGAAGCTCACATGGATTTATTTATCAGCATGGATCTCTGAATGGAACCAAAATTTAAATGTGGGCCGCCTTCTTCCAAAAGCTTTCCAGCTTCTGAGCTGATCCTGCATTGATTTCCGCATCAGTATGTTTCATTTCCTTTTAAGAGTCCTAATGGTGTCAACACTGTTTCATGAACTTGCCACAGGACCAAGTCTCAGGGAACACTCCAGATTTACTTACATCAACCTCTTTAACAAAGCCTTGTCCAAGACCCAATTCATCTGTAGCAGGCACCTACAAGAATATTGGAGTCTACATCTCAAATTCTGGTCTGATTTTGCTTTGTGTGGAAGTCAGGGTGTGTGCGGCACAAAGCAGTGAGAACGGGCAAGTGCCTGCCTGGCCTTCCCCTGGACACAAAGCAAGGCAATGGGGATGCGATGGGGAAGCTGATGCCCTGAAGTATACTGATGTCCGTAAAAATCTGTATGGGGCTTCAGCACTTTGTCCCAGATCTCTTACTTCACTCCTTCCACTGCAAAAGGGTTTGAGACTTTGCTTTTCTAAAAGTTCATGCTAAAGGGTGTCATCAAAGAAAGCTGAGGAAAGACCTCATCACTCTCTGCAGCTCCCTGAAAGGACGTTGTAGAGAGGTTGGTGCTGGGCTCTTCTCACAGGGGATTAGTGATAGAACAAGAGGGAATGGCTTTAAACTGCAAGGGAGGTTTAGAATGGACATTAGGAAAAAATTTTTCACAGAAAGAGTGGTCAGAGTGGAATAGGCTGCCCAGGGAGGTGGAGTCACCATCCCTGGATGTGGTTAAGGGTCGTTTAGATGAGATGTTGGAGGATGTGGTGTAGGGAAGAACTTTGTAGAGTCGGGCTGATGGCTGGACTCGATGATGCCAAGGGTCTTTTCCAACCTGAATGATTCTGTGATTATTTACTTCAGGATTCGCAGACACAAGTCTCTGTTCCCAGAAACAATTTTAAGTCCTGTGGGGCCTGATCTTGCGCTAGCAGTAAATAGCACTGATACTTCCCATGGCTCTTCCCGAAAAAAACACCAAACACGGAATATTTTCCCAAAGGCCAGTTAGCGCTTCCGCGAGCGTGTGTCTGCAGCGGGACTTCGCTGCCGGCCGTCCCCGGGCCAAACCGTCCGACCACGGTTGGCGCCAGCGCGGCGCCATGGCGGACCCCGCGCA